AGATCATGTGGCCTCGAACAGAAGAGGAAAGAGCAAGGGGTAGAAATTGTGGCTTTGTTGCTTTTATGAATCGCGTTGACGGAGAAAGAGCTCTACGTCATCTTAGAGGTTTGTTTTTTATATGAACCCAATTGTCTTCATTTAGGCAAAGAGTTGATGGGCTTTGAAATGAAATTGGGTTGGGGCAAGGCAGTGCCAATTCCTGTTCAGCCTGTTTATATACCTCCTCCTCTGCTGGAGGTAATGAAACCTCCCCCTCCTTCCGGATTACCTTTTAATGCGCAGCCACGGGAATGGCTCAAGTCTGTACGTGATTCCTTGAAGGAGCGTGCAAAAATGATCAGCAAAAGCACCGATTCTGATAGAGATAAGGATGAAGCACCTCCTCCAGCGCCTGATAGAACTCCTTTCGATATTTACCAAATGCCCAAGGAAGAGTTCAACTTGGTATGCATTTTCGATCTTTAGCTTTTTTTACTTATAATGACCCTCTAACTTTATTTAATCTCCACAGGTCCTTAGGAATGCTATCGTCAAGGTCGTTATACCATCGGATAGGTTTGTCTTTTGCTTTTTAATCGATCAAATTTAATTTTAACCAAATCATTTTAGAACTGTTTTGGCTACCATTCATCGATTGATTGAATTTCTAATCAACGAGGGTTCTCAGTTTGAAACAGCTATTATGCATCGTGAACAAGGCAATCCTAAATTCAGGTAAAAACTACTTAGCATTTTAACTTCTTGCAGATTTCTTTTTGATTACCAAGCAGCTGATCATATTTACTATCGCTGGAAAATTTGGTCAATCCTACATGTAAGATACCCTAGCCTTTGTCACTTTGTCACTAATTCCAATTTAATCTCATCTTAACATTTTCTTAGGGTGAAAGTGTTAACAAATGGAGTACGGAAGAATTTCGCATGTATGAGTTTGGTCCTCTTTGGAGACCACCTTTGACTGGATTTTATACTACAGGCATGCCTGAAGAAATGGTTGAGCCTGATGATTACCCCTACGCTCCTGGATTCGTTCCACCTCCTTCCTCACGCCCTGTTGAGGAAGAAGATGAAGAAAGAGAGCCCAGTCGATCAGATCGAAGACGACGGTAATTCTTTTTATCTTTGAGGCTAAAGCGAGCATATCTAACAAATTACATATTAATATATTGTTCTCATTTTTTCATAATTAATTTTCAAACTTGTTCATTGATCACTTACCTCTGCTTATTTCACGACGCTTACTCTCCTTTTTTCCCTGTCTTTTATATGTCTTATTATTCTAGCTCCCCACTTGACCTCTAGATATTAGTGTATTGAGGCTTAGTCAGCTTTTCGAATAGCGCTTTTCTCTTTTGATCACCTTAGCTAACGATTTCATATAACCACAGTTCAATTAGTTCCTATTTAAAATTAGAATTGAACACCATGTTCATTCCTTTATATTCCTTTTTTCTTAGTCGTGAAGAGGATGCCTCTCGCCGTTGCAGGCTGACTGAAGCTCAGCGAGGTCGATTGAATCAAATGATTCGGCAACTAACACCTGAGAGACAAAGTGTTGGGGATCTCATGGTCTGGTGTCTCGAACACGCCGACTCAGCTGCCGATATCACCGATTGCTTGATAGATTCCTTGCTGAACGCGAAGTTCTGTCCTGTTTCAACTCATTTGGATGTAATTGAGAAAAACATTGAAAAGGATTCAAAGACGGATGGCGAAAAGAAATCTGATGGCATTAAAAGTGATGAAGAGGAGGAGGATGAATCGTACAAAGGTCCGGAAGTGATAACGATACCAAAGATTATTGCTAGACTCTACCTTGCATCAGATATTCTGTACAATTCCTGCGCTAAGGTCCCAAACGCTTCCTTCTTCAGAAAATGGTACGTTATAAGAGATAATCTGTCTGAATACTTTCATGTAAATAGACCTTTTATTTCGTACATAAAGTTCGATGAAGGATTTCGTAAATTGGCTTCACTTATGAATTTGGGCCTGATTTAAGAGTTTGAGTCCTCTGTGCACACCTGGCCATGACTAATCTGTCACATGACAGATTTATGAATTCACTAAATGCTAAGCTAAGAATGACGATCAGCTTCGATCCTACCTTATAATCTTATTTTGATATCCTAATATTATCTGGTATCTGCTTCACTTCTTTTCACGTGCTTATAGGTAGTGTGGGTGTATTTTTCGCTTATAATCACTTGCAATTTGATTATTGAATGTTGACATATGCTCCTGCGTGTTTTATGTGTATGTAATGCTAATGCGTCATTTGGGATGTTAGAAGCTAAACGGACCTCGGGCTAATCAAGCCTCTTATTCGGTGATTCTTTTTGTCCCTATTCCCTTTAATTCTATCCAACAGCCATTAGCTTATTTTATCAATTTTCACTACTAATTTCCTATTTTATAATGATTTTCTAATCTTCTTATTGACTGAAAAAACTCCATACTGTGTAAAATGCTAGGCATTTGATAACCTCCTTGTTTCTCGTACCGACTATATGTTCAGACATTTCAGATTTATAGTTTTGTAAACCTTCTCAGGCGATTTTGCTTTAGATGAAGTACTATGCATAAGCTGGACATTCTATACACCATCACATGATCACATCACCTTATAGCAATTGGTTTTATTTAGAAGAGTGTTCTCGGACCCAAATCGCAACAAAACATGTAATTGTCTATATTCATGGCTCTAATGCTCTTCATCCTCAATAGTTCAATTCCTGATTTTCCCTGACTAGCTGTTTTCCCTCCAAATTCTTATTATTGTTGAATAGTATGTATGCTATTGTAGAGCATAGGCTAGAGAATTGAAGTGAACGGAGTAGAAGAAACTCGCATTGAAAATAAACCACTACAATTTCTGATTATTTGGTGTAAATATGTAGGCCCACTGAGTCTGAGGGAGAGGCTTGATTAACTTGGAGTCTGCATAACCTTCGGTATCTAGTCTGGTTCATTGGCTCATATACATGAAAAACGCTTAGAACTATACTGCTATTTGACTAGTGTATCCACCTCACACATCTTCAATCATATGGCAAGCTCGAAGAACTCACTCAAATTATGGGGTCATTCATTCAGATTCGGAAAAATTGGGCTTGAAAAGCAGGTAGGATAGCCATTAGCCATGCGCCAGTGTCTATTATGCCCCAAACAAGTAGCTACTCGAAGGCCATCTTTATTTGGTAATCACTTCGGTCAATTTACGAATCCTTTTACTCAACTTTTGGATTCAATCGAAGGTCCATTTACAAGATATTTTATGTTGCTTGCTTATGCAATTCTCTGGCTTCATTTCTTTTTACTACCACATCGCATTTTACACTTGTTTCTGTATGGTTTGCTCAATCTTAATCTACTTTGATCTATCTTTACTTTATTTATCATCCAACCTCGTGTAAAATCGCCTGTATATTTATTTTTAATCATTACCACTTCATGCTGGGATTTACCTCATTCCTGAACTTTTGAATGCCGAATTGCTTAGTCGATTTTTATTAAATACTTTTGCTCATCTTTCTTCCACTCGGGCTTATTTTTTCAACTAATATCTGAAAATGGCATCACAGTTGTAATCTATATGTTTGACACATCTCTTTCTAGTCGGTCTATCTGTTCATCTTTCTAGATACTAATATTCGTGACTTGGAGCTTAAAAAATGGATGCGCTTATTTATGAGGTATTGTTAATTCGAGGCTCTTCAAATTGCGTGGTATTTTTTCTTAGATTTTACTTTACATTGAAAGCTTTATATCCTGACTGCCACTCGTTTGAATGACTTAAACATTAACTCGTATCGGTGATTTTGCCCACTGCGTCACTGAGATACCCATATAATCACTTGGAATCTTTATTTGGGCAATATATGCTTGACTTAGTGGAATAAATTTATTAGTTACAAAGCGCTACCACGTAACCGTGCTGTAGCGACCTACATCTCAAATGAAATTATCTGGTAAAAAGCTTCGTAGGTTGAATTCACCGGAAGATGGCAACTTGCTTTTTTCCCTGCAGTCGTTTTGTTTTACTAATATGTTCAGGTTGATATAGTTTATGAAACGTCCTTCGTCTTTGGTTATAATGGGCTGGGTTTTCGTTTGTCATTCCAGTTCACAGAACTACGAAAGGCATAATTGCGATATCGTAATCCCAAACATACATATGGTTGAATTGGTGGACTCAACGAATGTTAAACAATTTGCATATGATTATATCCCTCACCAATGCTAAAAGTTGAGCTAAAGTTTTACCCCAGTTAATAGTAAATATTATAATAATAAGAAGTTCAGTAGGAACTTTATTGATTCAGAGGGAATCTATTTAACCATAATCGTAATGAAGGCTACTTAACTGTTTTTATATATTAAAATTCATTCCACACTTCCTTCACGTTCATAAGCTCGACCAGACCTCTGTTTGGTATTACGTAATCATGACTGAATCATTCC